AAGCCACTCATCTGTGACCATACATTCACCTACTGTGTGTAGGTGCATACAGTACAGAGAGAGAATATGTGAGGAGGCAGGTTAGGAGTTGTCAACGGCCGCCGCATGACATTGTGGTTCAGAGATGACGCGAGTTGGACCAAGCCCCTCATCTCTTCCCTCCCTTGTGTTTCCCATGAGAGGGTTAAAGAGCTGTACAGTACCGTATCGTGAAGCAGAGAGTGAGAGAGTGTGTTGTGTGTGTCGTCCTTCTCACAAGGGCTTTCGATAGAAGTGGACTGTGAGACAGAGACTGGATTGTGGCGTGTAATGGGAAGTCGTTGACGAAGCCGACACAAGAGTTGGCCTGTGTGCAGCCTTTACAGTGGCCAACCAGACAACTAGATGGATGGCCAGTAGGATATCAATAGCCTACTGCAGTACGACAGTTGCAGCTCAGTCTTGGAAGGGCAGGCAGTCCAACGGTGGACATGACCATTTGAGTTGACCTGTAACGTTTGTCTCAGAGATGTCAATCTTGTCTGATTCAAAGTTTACGTACAGTTGGAATAAGTGAGTGCAGTTACATTATACCTGTATTTGGGCACTGATGGTCTGCGTAACGGCACGGATATAGATATCCTACCTTGATCCAAACAAAAGAAAAAGGCTGGGGAGACGCTTGCTACTGTGATGAGAGACACAATGTATTGGTGGCGTATAGTAAGCAGATCAAGGCCAACAATCATGCATCTCTGTGGATGAGCAGCTGAGAATTTGCGGGCGTTGGAAGTACATGCATAGGTACCCATGTAGTAAAGGTACATACCTGATAGTAATTAATTCCACTTTCTCAACGATAGATAGACGTAGGTACTCCGAAGTAGGGATGGATATCGGTAGAGGAATGGATATTCTAAAGTAATAAATGTTACTAGCAAGGCATCATCTATTCGTCCCGCTCGGGCCGGTCCCCAGATCAGATGTAGAAAAATCTCCTAACGTCAACTCAAACCCCATTGTAACGTAATTAAGTCGGGAGTGTCTGTGCGGTCAGGCAAAGGATTATTTGGGACCGTAATATCCGACTTTTATTTATTTATTACAGGCTCTGAAGCTATGAACCAACAGAGACGCACAGACTAGAAGCTGAGACCTTTTTTTTTACTACAGTGAGTACATTGCAGTACAGGGCAGTAGCGCTGGAACGCTGCGATGCAAAAGACATGCTCCGTGGCCAAGGACTCGGGATATTTTCTTCTTTTCCTTCTTCCTTGACTGAATAAGCCTAGCAAGCCCTATAATGGATTTTGAGTTTAGAGCCAGTTGGTGGCTAAAATGAATGACTGACGTATTTTCTTTGCACATCCCATCAATGACTTCTTTGCCTGAGTGTTAATAAATCATGACATGACTTGTGAATTGCTCGTCTTGGCAGGGAACATGACTCTCTTGTTCATGTCGGAGGCCATCTCCGGTCAAATGCAACCCTGGACATGGTATTTGGTTAAGCGATCAAGGTATGTAAAGTAGATGAGCCGAACCTTGGATAACCAGTCGGCTTTGGAATTTGACTGAAACAGCTTCTGCCCAGGTCAAGGTTCAGCGGTTACAGGGCTTACTGGGGCTGGCAATAGGCGTGTTGGTGGGTTGACTTGAAACAAGGATGCAAGTCTGTCGTAATTCAGTCATGCTGAACCAAACATTTGGTTCTTGGGATGTGGGACTGGGTTCACCTTTACAAATGCCGTGTCGTGTCCACCTAGTTGGGCATACACATCGTGCCATGTACCTTTCCAGCTGTCGTTCAACGTGTCGAGACTTTAACGGGTGAGATGGATGGATTATCCCTGCTGCTATTTTTTTATTTGTTCTTTGACCCTCCTACAGTAGCTTGTTGCATCAGCGCTTGTGCATACATATGCACTGCAAGAGGATAAGCCTATAGGGTCAAGGTTGTTCGTCCAATGTTGGTATAAGAGTTGGGTACGAATGTCGTCAATATGTTATTTGATATCTGGCCGAAATACAGTGTACAGACACAAACAGCACAGTACAGTTCACAGTGAAGTGAACAACACGAGGAAAGATGCTTCTTTCCTCTCCATTCATTCTTCCTCTCCCAACACAAGACCTCGAGACGGAAAAGATCTAGCGTCGTCTAATCCTTGAGGGTTCCCGTGCACCGGGTCCTGCATCCCGCATGTCTAGCCCAACACTAATGCAAGATTACGGAGACACTTTGTTGATCTAGGACTAGAAAGGATAAGCCTCGATTTTTGAGTGACTGACTGAACTCTCACACTCTCCGGGATGACGTTCAGAAATGGACAGCTCAGACCAGAACTTTGAATTAGTGAGTAGGTATGGACAGTTAGCTTGGAATCCTCAAACCAAGCGAAATGACAAAGTGAATGAATGAATGAGTCTACAAAAACATATCATCTTTGAGGCTTGTCGTATAATGAGACATGGCGCAACCAAGTATGTATGTACCTAAACTCTTCATAACTCGACTCCCGTCTATCTATCCAAAGCTGTGCATAACACAACGCGCCTGCAGGATCTATGCAGATACATACACATACACTCTGGATAGTCATGTCCTTGAAAATAAAGATTTGCAGCATGGTTTCTTCTTTGACATCCATTCATCATTTTTTTTTTACAAAAAAAAAAAGATCCTTTCCCTTTGTTACCAACTTGCTTTCTTCTAGCCCGTGTCTTGTCCCCCCACTCCTGTTGGCTGACCTGACCTCGCCCCTCTCTCCTCTCCCACCTCACAACCAAAAGCACCAGTTATATCCAGTCTTGGCGATGCCAATGCAGTCTTCGCTTAACTGGGCTGGCAGGCTGGGGACATGCCGTCCCGTCGATGCAACTGTGATAGGCCAACCGACACAAGGGACAAGTGCTGAGAATGACATGTTTTTTTGTTGTCGGCTCCGGAGCACTTGGCCTTTTGGGGTACGTATACCCGTTGCCGAAGGCAGACTGCAACGCTGCGGCAGTACTTTTGTCTAACATATATGTACCTATATATCCGTAGATGTGTATATATTGTATTGTATCCTGAATAAGAGCAAAGGGAAAAGGAAAATGCTATAACCCGAATTCCGTATGCCCACTTTCCTAATGCGCGCCTAGGTAGACAGTACAGTACAGCCAGTACCTACTAAGGTAGGTACTTGGAACTGGATGGAATGCCGCTGATTGTCACCCTTCTCAGCTGAGTTAGACTTGGCACTTTTTGAACCGAACTCTAAAATTAAATGAATTGCCTAAACCAAAAAGTCCCTACAGTGTACTGTGCCACGAGGAGATCAGCAGTGATTAATGACAAGCAAAAAAGATTCCAACTCTATTTTCAACTTCCAGAAGCAGTTGTTCTGTCCCCATTGTTCTTGGTTAGTGCTCAGGTCCAAGTTTCTACTTTATTCTCGGATCCTGGGACTTCCCGTCCCGTCTTGTCGTCTCCATTCTCTTTTTTCCCAACCCAAATCCTAATCCCAATCCCAGGGCGGCCGCGATCGAAAGAACCAACAGAAACATCCCATTGGCTCGATCTTCCTTGTCCCGTCTCCTTGGCTGTGGACGAACGCCCCCCCCCCCCAAAACCGAATGGACCCCGAAACTTAGGCCACTCAGGACACTAAGATGGCCTTTTTAACAGGGCGTTCCAGCGGTAGCTTAGCCTTGGGTCTTTTGGGAACCCTCCCGAGTCAGCTGGCATGAGCTGGCGGGCTGGCTGAGCTGTACAGTACCAAAGCCAGGCTCCTGGGCCAGGCTTAGTCTGTCTGGGTATCCATCTTCCAACAAAGCATTCAGCCACTCATCACTAGATGCGCCTTCCCAGTCCCTGCCCTTGCACGTCCATCCCTCCCAGCTTTATGAATGGTGAGGATCATCATCTTGATTGTCGCTCTTTCGCGTTCTTTGAACTGTCCGAATGCTTATGTACCTGACCTAAGTAGCCATCCTGTCATCGTATTTAGAAACATCTCCGCCGTTATATCTTAGATTTCATATTTGCTATCAACAATAGTAGCAATAGAATATCAACAACAACAACGGCAACGTCTGGATCCGCTGCATCCTCGGGCCATTGTCCTTCCTGTCTGTACTCGCATCATCTCGCCTCGCTTCGCCGAAGTCTGCACAGTACCGACGGGAATTGCGCTGTACTTCGGATATCTTTTGCCAGTCTCAAGTCTCCACTCCTCCAAGTTCGACAGGGCTTGTGCTTGTCCTGGGTCCTGGGCTGTTTCTCTTTTCCCTTTTCCCTGCCCTGCCCGAACTCTTACCCTGCTAAGAGCTAGCGACATACGCTATTTGTCTCGCCTACGGGCCTTATCCTATTCCTCTTCAACGGCCTCCACCCCCGGTCTCTCGCTTCCACTCTTTCTTCCCCTTCTCTTTCTTCCCGTCTATTATCCCCCCTACTCCTGCTGCTACTCTTACTTACCTTGCTGTTACTTCACTACACCCAAATCTCGTATGTCGCGTTGAAGACGTTTCCCTCTCTCTTTCGTCTCTTCAACCTGCCTCTCTTCAACTACGGTCGTCGCCCTCCGTCCGTTCTTGAATTGATAGTATAGCCACTAAATTCGATTTGTCGCCAATCATTTTCTAATTAACCAAAGTCTCAGTCTCATATTGAGGGTAAGTTTGCAAATCGGATATAAACATTCAACGCCCCAAACCCTTTCTCTCCCAACCGTTTGGTGATAGGATTTTCGCTCTGTACCAACCAATGGGCCTTTGCTTTGCATGCACGACCGTTGCTGACAACGGTTTACTTCAAAGACCTCACTTAACTTCACTTCTCAACCGTTCTTTACACCGGCGTGCTCTCACGCGCCTCATTAATATTCAAGATGGCGACTCCTTCCGTAATTCCCACAGATTCCAAACGCGACACCACCGCTCAGTTTCACAGAATCACAAGAGGAAACCGCAGCCTCTGGTACCAGCTGACTGTCCTGCAATAACCAGAGCGAGCCCGAGCATGCGGCTCCGGTATGAAGGGTATGACTCTTATCTTGAACAATATAGTTGACTTCAGTACTGACTTTCTATAGCCAACAGCGATCGCCGACCCGTTGATCCTCCGCCCGTTGTCGAGCTCCGAATTGTTGAAGGCCCCACTCTCGAAGAGGGCAAGGACGTCACTTTCGATTACAACGCCAATTTCTTCCTCTATGCCAGTCTCGAGCATGCTCGCACCATAGCCGCTGGACGTGTATCAAATCCCGCTGCCAACAACCCCCCTATTCTGACTGGTGTTCCCGCCTCTGGTATGGCCTACCTCGACCGTCCATCCGAAGCCGGTTACTTCATCTTCCCCGATCTTTCTGTGCGCCATGAGGGTCTCTATCGCTTGACCTTCAGCTTGTTCGAGACTACCAAGGAGGAGCAGGATTTCGACATGCAGCCTGCCGATGGCGATCTTCCACCTGGCGTTGACTTCCGAATGGAAATTAAGACGCATCCTTTCGCAGTTTACAGCGCCAAGAAGTTCCCCGGTCTCATGGAGAGCACACAGCTTAGCAAGACAGTCGCTGACCAGGGCTGCCGAGTTCGAATTCGTCGCGATGTTCGTATGAGGAAGCGTGACACCAAGGCGGGTGGTGGCAACAGCAACAACAACAACAACAACAACAACAACAACAGTAACAACAATAATGCTGCTAACAACGGCGGAAACAACGCCTTTGAGCGTCGCGATGAAGATTTTGGTCGTAGAAGGACTGTTACTCCTGCCGCGGAGGACCCCCATGGAATCAGGAACCGATCTCAAAGCAATTCGAGCGAACACCGAGCTTCCTACTCCGACGCTTCTCGACGACCTTCGATGGTGGACTCGTACCCGCCTCCACCTCCGCCTCCATCTTACAACCCGGCTCCTTCAGCCCCGCGTCACCTTGCTTTTGGCGAGTCATCTGGTTCCAAATACTCGGCACCTCGACAATATGCTCACCAGCCTGGTCTGCAAATAACACCCGTCTCCGCCAACGGCTCGTACCCTCCCACCGCTCAGTCGCCATACACCAAGACCGATGCGCCCTATGGATACACCAGCCGTCATCTCCCACCATCATGTCCTTCGCCCGCCCCGTCTGTCAACCGCGACTTGTATGACCGTAGACACTCCACCAGCACCTACGTTCCTCCTTCTCCGTCAGTCTACTCCGCTGAAGGCCACTACCGTCGAGACTCGCAGGCATCATACCCCCCTACGCCTGCTGCTACTCTTCCCCGTATGAACACCGAGTCGTCTCGCGGATCCATCAAGATTTCTGCTCTAGTCGAGCCCATGCCCGTCATTGAGCCTCAGGTCGAACCTCTCCCTGAACTTCCCCCCGTTAACGTTGGTGGTAAGCGCAAGCACGAGAGCGTCTTTGCCCAAAACACTAGACCACTTTTCAACGGTCAACGACAAATGGATCCTCACTATGGCCGATCTCACCGTGGTTACAGCCCCGACCACGACCAAGGCTCTTACTCTCGAGCTGATGGCCAGATCAGCGTTATTCAATTCAACAAATATGAGTATTAAAATATCGACATCCATACTCCTTGACTAGAAAGGCACACCGGCGTTCTAGTGTGTGTTATGTATTCCTATCTACAGGAGGACGGTGGGATGATTGAATATACATGAGCGACAATGTTTAGGAGTTCAGGCGCAATTGATGTGGATAAAGTCATGGGAATGAAGACTTGGCACCAGATTTTGGTTATCTTGGACATCAAAGTTATTTTGCATCGTCATTCATGTTAGATCACAGAAAGGCTTTTGGTTCCTATGATCACAAAAATGACATTCACATACGACATCTTTTTCTTTCTTTCTCTATTCTGTCTACATGTCTGTCTAGTTTACTTGATATAAATCGGCTCATCGATCCTTTCATTCATGTCAATCTCAATACTTCTCTGGTTCTGAGCTTTCGCCTCGGTCAAACAAGTACTATGTATTAGTGTGAGACAGTGCGATTCGTGTGATGTATCTTGCCACCAGGATAGGACCCAATACGAGTCTTTGTCCGGAATCAAGGGTAAAGTCACGGTAGACTATGCTGCTCGAGCTATTTTGCCGGGGGTTAGTTAGGATTTCTTCAGGTTCTACAATCCAACGTCATGGATCTGCTTTCTGTCTACAGGAATTATCAACATATCCATGCAATTACATTGTTTTGAGTCACATTGTTTTGAGTCACATGAGACAACTCTATGAAACTAGTGATTGTAATTTCACACACAAAAACAAAGACGTAAAGCGTCTCAAACCCTCGACCAGATATCCATGTCGAGTACGAATATTCGGATTAATATAACTTAAGCAAGGTCTACTAGTGAACTTTCCTCCAACATTGACCACAACCGAAGAAGAATCAAGGTCATACGGTGGAATAGATATATATCTCGGCGGGAATAAGGATATGAATGGCTATTCTAGTGAAGCACTCTAACATCATGTACGCCATGCAATATTCACAACCAACATAATACAGCCAAGCCAGGAATCGACGATTGATGCTATTGCCTTGCTCCGTCTAAAACCAAAGGGAATTTAATCTCCGTTTTTGTACTTTTCACTTCGATTTTATTTCCACTTTAGGGAATCAAGCGGTTCGAGTATCCTTGTACTCCTTCCCATTCCAAGGTCAATGCTTCACTAACGCTGCAGGTACGTTGCATCCCCCGCTCCTGCCTCGTTGCCGTGGTGAAATCACGTGCGCGAACCAGATTCAATATCAACAAACCGACCGCCTCCAGGTCCGAGTCCCAGGTCCCAGCGCCGCTATCACTTTTGCAGATGCAATCATCACACAACGTTCTGTTTACTATAATCAGCCACGTTTTTTTTTTTTCTCTTTCCTAAGCCGTTATGTCCTGTTGACTTTTGAACCCCCATTGTTCAACGCTTCCCGCACCCGATCGTTGTTAAAGTCAACGTAATCGTGCTGCTTTAAGCTCTTACAACGCCCCCCCAACTTAGACGCAATTGTACATCCGCATTCATACACGACCACAAGAAACCTTCTTCATGGGTCGGCCGAAGCCTCGCCGCGCTGTAAGCGCGAGCCGGTTTCAGGAGGGCTCCATGAACGACAGGACTTCTGCTGCACCCCCCGTTCAGTTTCTGGGCCCTGATGAGCTCGCCGCCCTCGAGCGACCTATTCTGACATGTGTCAAATCCAACAATGCCCGGCCGATGAGTGACGATTTCTCCGACAAGCAGGTCAAGAAGGGAAGGCTTCTAGGTCAAGTGTGGGATGAAGTTCGAGGTCGATTGGGATTCAGGAAAGACAACGAAGATGACAGAGGGTTGAGGAAGAGGTCGCGGAGTCGCAAGAGGGACCAAGATGACCAGCGTGGGAGGGATAGGGATAGAGAAGATGTCCAAATGATGGACATGCCAGACCCCAAGAAAAACGTTGATCCTCCAAGAGACGACATGCCTAGTCGAGAAGAGATCTTGGCCAATTATCACCATTTGATGGCCTCTGGCTTCTTTACTTCTCACGCTATCCAGTCTACTCGCCAGCCACCACCCGGCGCTGTTCAACAAGCAGCTCAGCAAATCGCCGCACCTCCGGCCAATCTTATGGATGCTCTATCTCGAGCCCCCATGCCTGAAGATGCAGTTCCTCCTCCACCTACGCCACCTGCAGAGCCCAAGTCACCCTTGAGGGCCAAGTTTCCCCTCAAATTACAGTCGCCTCCTGGCAGTCCAGGAGCTGCCACATACGATGAGCTTGTTGCATCTGGATTCTTCACACCTCCACTCTCCGCAGGCGCCTCACCGCCAACGCCGTTCAGTGCTGCCCCAGCCCCAGCAGTACCTACTGGCATAATGTCAAGGGATTACCTTCAACCGCCTCGACAGACTAGAGGCTCACGAACAGGAACTCCTTCGGCTTCTTGCGCGACCTCTCCTATTCAGTCGCCAGCGAGCGTTTCATCTAGGGGAACTAAGCGAGCTGCAGCGGATTCCAACTCGGACGACGAAGTAGGGGCTGGAGCTCGCGATCCTCCTACCCCGAAGAAGAAGTTGCGCAAGTCTTCTTCTCGAGATATTGGCCTGCCTAGCCTACGAAACGTTGCATCTCGCCGTAGCCTTTTATCCTCACGACGTAGTGTGTCGGGACCCCATGGAGCTGGTGCTGGTAAAGACTATAACAGGCTTGCCCGCCGCGTCCTTGGACGACTGCCCGGTGCTGGCGGTCGAAGTTCTTTCGACTCGGACCGCCGGGCAGGTTCTCGACCTGGCTCTGCTGCTAGAAACAGCACCGACGAATCTAGATCGCCATTGCAGGAGGTTCAATACGCTCGAGTTCTGCGTTCGCGCAAGATCGCCGCAGAAGAGCTTCACGTGACACCGAATGGTAGCAAAGGCACCCCCATGGTGCCCGATATTCCCGAGAAGTTCGCCTTGCACGACAACGTCGAGAACCTTGTCCCGGCAATGCGGTCGCGCTATTAGTTGAACGGCGACAGGCAGCCTTTTATTCTTTCAGCATCGACGATTGATATTCAACAGAACGCAGGATACCTACGACAGCACAGCGGATAACGGCAGTGGTGAGATGCAAAGCAACCAAGCTTTTTGCGCTCTGCAAGCTACGGGCGTTTGCACAACTCTATAATGACGCGGCCACGACCTTGTTTTTTTGTTTCTGGTTCTTCTTTCATGGTGGAATTGTTGAGATATCCATGATGGCATGCGACATGACTGAACTTTATTTCTATGACGTCTCCTATTATCCTTGTTGGTTGGATAGGGTGGGCTTTTTGTGTTTTCTTTTCCTTTATGCTCTGGGTTTACGTACTTGAACGAGTAAGAGAGGAGTGAGGTAGCCTTTGAGGAAGAGAGGAATGGTGATGGAAAACGTTCATTGTCTTTGCGGGTTGGATGAAAGGCTGTATTATGGGAATAGAGGCGTTCAGGGTTTGATTGATATGACGGCATTAACGACGATTTCCCCCTCCATATATTGGGTTTGCCTTGCGAACATATAGTGAGAAGTGTTAGTGGTGAAATTTTGACATGTCTAATAATTACAATATGAAGTTCATATCGATTCATTGAGCAACAACAGACCACAGTATCCGTATTATGTTGGGGGATGAGCTGGTCACGAGAAATGCGCAGTCACCAAGATCATATCAAGACTATTCATTCCGTCTCTGAACCTATATATATACAACTATCCCGTGCATACCCCATTGTCTGCCTGACTGCAGTCCAAAACCAGCAAATAAACACCACGTTGTCCTCATCTTCCAATATTCCCAAATGTCTGGTTGCAAAAACAAAGCCAACAATCCCGTTCAGCTCCTCTATTGCCCATTCGTGTTCATCCCAGGAAACACCATCTCGACGTTGACTTGTCTGCATGTTAAGTCTTCTTTCCGGAACGCTTCGTGCACGCTTAGCCTCGGCCGAGGTCCAAACGAGTGTCAAAAGTAAAAAAGGGTAAACAAACATTTATCCATCGTCAAATATAAAACAGGTAATAATGGACGCCGAATCTGTACAAGTAAGAAAAGAAGAAGTACGCTAAGCATTTTATGTGTGAATTGACAAGAAACAACGTCGTAAAGTCGTTCAAACTTCGATGACCTGTTCGATTTGGTCTGGAAGGTTGTGTTGAATAAGCTGCTGAGTCTTGCTAAGCCCATTGTGATATAGTGATCGAACAAATGCCCAAGCAAAGGTGAATAGCCATGGGAAATAGCTGTATAGCATTGCGCAAATCATGACGAGAAGGAGAGGAATCTGTTGCTCGGTTAGCTTGCGGTCGGCTTAAGGTTGTGCGCAAGGCGACTTACCCAGATGAAGAATAGATTGTGATCACTGCTAATCCTCTTCATCTTAACTTCATGTGCTCGGCGAAATTGCTCTTGCTGCTCCTTAGTAATAGCGTTCTTGCGGCCGATCTTGAGAACTCCTGGCTCTTCCGTCTTGGCCTCAGAGATCTCAGCAACCTCGACCGACTCAGTCTCAACCTCTGTAGTTGTAGGCACGTCGAATAAAGCCGCGCACTTCTGATCAGCCTCGGCCTCCACAGCGGCTCGGGCAGCAGATGCTTGCTTTCGGTCAAGTCCCTCGCGAGGGTAAATCTCCTCGTAGGCTGGGGGTGCGGCCGCACTCGCCTTGGGTGCTAAATCCCACCAACGCTGTGGCTGTTCGCCTTCAGTTCGAGGTCCTACCATGCCTGGCATAAATTGCTGAACACGTCGCATAAAAGGTGCTTGGTAGTCGGGCATGTTAGGCAATGCGGGCATTTGAGGGAAATGTGGTAAGTTCTGGAGCTGCAAAGCAATTGACTGCTGGAGCTGATGAATTTGTTGTTGGAATTGTTCTTTCAGTGCAGCGGGCGTAGCAGCCATTGCTGTTGCAGGGGGGATGAGTTCTTCCTCCAATTCACCGGTCATTTGGCGGCGAAGGTTGGGCCTTTCGCGGTCTTGCCGGAAGCCACTAGGTCTTCTCATGCTCAGATGATCATTCTCATCAGAATCTTCATCCTCAAAATCCCCGGAAGTATATTCAGGACTCTCTTCGCTTGAGTCTGGTGAAATGGGTTCATCGTGAGTGTGGACCTTGGTCATGGGCTCCCATAACGATCGTAGCGATGTAGCACTACTAGCTCGGCTGTGTAGAGAACCGCCGCTGCTGCGAGAGCGAATGTGACGTTCAGAGCGACGGATGGTGCGCAAGACGGCACGAGACTGAGCGACATCAGCTGCAGCAAGGCCAGAGACGCTTCGAAGCGTGGGGTCGGCACCGTGCAGCATCAGTCTCCGCACAATCTCGGCGTGGTTATGTATCGCAGCGATATGTAGAGGCGAGAAGCCACCCTTGTCCTGGGCATTAGGGCTAGCGCCTCTAGCCAGCAAGGCAGCAACAAATCTATGGTAACCCAAGGAACAAGCGTGGTGAAGCATGGTGTGGCCTGTGGATCTCTTGAGATCTAGACGGGTTCTGTGCGTACTATCATCTAGATCAATAAGATCCAAGCATTTCAGGAGCTGGGATTCGAGATGAGCATAAGGAGCGTGGCTAAACATTTGGCCACCTGACGAGGGGCCACCAGAGGGGCCACCAGACCAAGCTGACGGACTATCGTCCAGGATCCTTCTAGCCAGGTCTTGTATATCCATCATGTTACCAGACATCTTATTTCCGAGGACAGATAGAGCGAGTCTAATAAGCTTTTCCTCGTTGTCGTCAACATATTTGAAGTAAGGAGTCTGTTTGCTCATGGCAAAGCTTTGCGCAGCCTGTGGGTTCGCATGCTTGAAATGAACAGGAACAGGCCCTACCACGGGCGAAGGAGGTAACAAACACACTAGCGAGGATTCACCCCAGAATGTAGTAGTCGTAGCCTTCTGGTTACCAAACCAGACCTCAAGTCCCTGGGAAAAAGCAGCACCCAACACAGTTACTTCAACTCCCCCAATCTTTGGGCCTTGGTTGGGAATTATTTTGTGAATTACAGGAGGTGATCGCGTCTCGTTCACGCCGATAGGCAGGGGAAACATGCTGCTGGTGCTCATATCCTGGGAGAATTGGTTCTGAGGATTGGAAACGACAGCAGCTCTGAATCCGCTGGGGCTAGGAGCTCGGCTTGGGTGACCAGAGGCAGGTGCAGAGTAGAGCTGGGAAACCACCATGTTGTCCATACTAGAAGAACGGTTGGTGTTGAAGAATGCATCGTTGCTGCCAGGCGTAGGGGGGCCGGCATTAGGGAATAGAATTGGTTGTTGTCCGAATAATGGCTCGGCCTGGGAGAAACCACCAAGTCCAGGGGTAAAGGGAGACGTGGCGTTAGGCAGCTGAGCTGCCTGCGAACCCGGTGAGGGCGTGGTGTCCATGCGGGTCATGGTCAGCCCGTTAGGTACTCTAGACGCGCTCGATTTTCTCTTCTTAGTCATCGGACCACCCAGCGTAGGGGAAGCAGGACGAGAAAGCATCCTGCTGCCGGCACCAGTCGGTGTCACGTTGGACATGGACGATTGATACGGAGCCTGGCTGTTCCTAGGCATGTTGGGAAGGTCACCGTTGGTTGGTGACATGCTGAAAGCCCCATTAGGAGTGGGCGGTATAAGAGCGCTGGTGTCAATCGCTGCTTGAGGAACAGGTCCTGGCATAGAAACTTCGGAAACGCCCGGCTGTTGTTGAGCCGCAACCTGAGCCTGGGGATGTGTTTTATGATCATCAGTAATCATAATCGCTTTCGACATTGCTTGGGCAATGACTCTGTCCTCAAAGTCCTTGATGGTGAAGATGACATTGAATCCAGACTTTTCGCCGTGATGTCGACAGTAGCAAGCAATGCGCATTGGGGCATCGACTTGCATGGTACCAGGAGCCGCCATGGGTCCGTTGACAGGTTGCCATTCCTTTACTTCTTGCGTATTGAAGACAATCACACGGTGTTGCTCATCTTGTTGCCAAACCTCTTCTTCCTCAGGCTTCTTAACCTTTTTCCTAGCAGCGCGCTTACGCTCACGGGTTATGCAACCTGCGCAAATACGCACATCGCCGCCCTTTGAAGGAGTATTCTCGTCATCATTGTCAGGAGGGAGGTAACGTTGAGGATGAGAAGCAGCACGCTCGAGTGCGTTCTCAATCCTGCCAGGTTCATCCATGGCACTCGTGCATACCAAGGACACGAATAATTCGAGCATATCTGGAGATTTTTTAGGCGCCGGTTTTGCCAGTAGCTTGGGCTTCGAGATAGTGTGGGGTGGCAGGTGCAGCTTGGTAATCCCGGGTGGCATTGGAGACAATGCCATCTTAATGGGGATTTGAGTTTCGACCCGCGATTTAAACGGCGTTGGCAAGATGGTCAGGTTGCATCGTCCAGTGAAGTTGAATGGCGTGGGCATGCTTAACGGCCGAGGGATGGACATAGGCTGATTTATCTGACCGCCAAAATGCAGAGGCGAGACACCGGGTGCAGATTGTGCCGCCACATCGTTTCTGCTTGGCCATCCTGATCCTGCTACACTTACAGCCCTTGAGAAATCCACTGGATTGTGAGGTGAGGGCGAATTGAACATGGCCGCTGGAGAAGGACCCTGGCTCATGGCCATGTTATTGGACATTGGCGATACTTCACGCGATGTCGTTGTTTTTAGTGCATTCATTGCTGACGAGACAGAATATTGCTTTAGTTTTGTTAGTTGACGGTTGATTGCCGCTGGGGATTTGACGAGAAACACATACTGATGAAGCTTTTTGGTGACCTTGTGATTTTTTTCTCTTTGGCGTTGCATCCTTGGTAAAGTTATGTGGATTAATCGTGGGCATCGGAGGTGATGTGACTGAGTTTTCGCCATTCGGGCTGCTAGACGCGGTATCAAAAGCATAAGAGTGGTCGACAAAAGTATCGTGGTGATCGGCAAATGTGTACATGCTTTCCAAGGCCGTGTCCGCATCGTTGCGGCCAAATGCATAGGCAGAGTCGTCTTCGTATGTTGAAAAGCTAGGATTTCCCCATTCCATCTTGACATCGTCGTCATCCGCCATAATGTCAGCCGTGTTCATAGCCGCTTTGGAAGATGTCCGACTGGTGGTGCGTTTAGAAGAAGCCGACTCGGATGACGAATCTTGATAGGAGGAGCCGTTTGGAGAGTCGGGGAAAGTTGCTGTTGAGGTCAGGTCTTGAGGCGCAAGGAATCCCTTAGTGTCCGATCCGCCGAGGGTTTCCATTGTCTGAAGGGTATCTGGGCTATTAGAATTGAAGTCGAGAAACTCTGCCAAATCTCCATCGGAGGGAAAATTGTTGTAGTCGCCGCCCGACATAGCATCACCTACGATAACAGGGCTGCGGCGGCCAGTAGGAGCGGGTGTCATGACCAGCGAGTGAAGGCTGGATCGTCCCGTAGGCGCCGGAGGACGATGGGGACGAAGTGGTGATCGGGCAGGTGCGGTTGAGTTTGGTGTCGCAAGTTGGGTAGGTATCGCGCGGGGGTAGTGGTGAGGAACCTTCAAGGCATTGACATGGGCAGTTTCAATTGAATTTTGTATTCGTTGTTGACGTTGTCGCTGGTGGTATTCCGAAAGTTTTATTTGCTTTTTGGCTGGGAGTAGATTGTGTTGCTGACGAATACGGGCTTCGAGTCGATATCCTTTAGAAACGAGTAGGTAGGTAGTTGTTGGGGCAGGAGTTCAATATGGATGGGAGAACCCCTAGAGCACGCGAACACAAACGAAACACAACGGCGGGCAGATGTGTAGGCAGGTCCCGGTCGGTCAGTGCAAAAAAACCTAGACGGGGACGGTCAGGGTCGTCTGCTGTCAGATGCGTTACCCCTGGTCGGGTCGAGGTGCGTGTTCGCAGGAGAAAAGGTGTGTATGGCGAACGGTCCAGTGCAACGGGATGATTACAATATTCGTATATGTAGATAGAGATAGAGGGGTTTGGACAGGAAACAGATGGGGGAGAATCGGATAGGAAACGGGCCTCACTCGATGAGACGAGAGGCAAAGAGATGATTGATTGATTGACGGATGGATGCGCCAGACGGTCTGGGCTAGTTAGGCTAGAGGCTGGCTTGTCGCTTGTCTTGGTTGTCTTGTCTCTTGGGTAAGGGAAAGTGGATTGGCTAGGAAGAGGTGCCTTAGCTTCGTGGGTTATGGGTAGGTTGTTATGGAAGTCTGTGGGCCGCTGTGGCTGCATATCGCCTACCTGCTAGTAGTACCTACTGAATGTGAGAAGGTTGGACTTTCTGGTGTTTCTCTTTACAGTTTTGTTCCCCTTTTTCCAAGATAAGATGATTGTACCAGAGTATGTGCGTACGTGGTCCAAGGCAATAAACGTAGAGTCTTGGGTTGGAAAGGGTGGTCTGGGTCTGGTTTACTTGGTTGCTGCATAGTAGGTAATAGTAGTACATAGGTCGTGTGGCGGGGATCGATGCTGTGCTGTAGGTACTATACCTACCACCTTCAGGGCCACAGTGTTAGGTGGAGCCGTTGTCGGCGCGAGACAGTGCGGTTGAGGAAAGTTTCGCACACGTCGAATGCCTACTTTGCTGTATACTTGGTACAGTTCAAGATTCGGTCTCGCACGTATCGGGGCTAATGCACTTCCGCATCCCATTTCTAGCAGACCGGTCACAATCGCACAATCTCTACAAGTAAAGAAATACAGACAGACAGACATCTAAAAACTATGGACTTTGATGCGAAGCACAGGTAACTACCGTTGTAGATCTACCCGGTTCTGGGGATTATAAACACACCGACATTGATTGACATGACAGCAAGGCGGCAGATAGAAATAAATGATGATGCAATTTTAATCAGTTTCACGGCTGAATTCGATTCTCAAATTAACATACCTACCAGCTCTAACGTACAGTGCTTAGCTGGAAGCGGGGGTCAATGAGATGGGATGGGATGTACTCCATAAATCCTCGTTATGGAGTCAATTCAAGAAGTGAAAGACCATCAGGACAAAAGAGGCCTCGCGTATTACGCAAGCTGTGACTCTTGAAAATTGCCAGACGTATGGACATGCTATGTGTGTTGATTGCGCCATGGGTTTAAAATTACTTAGAAGCTCCAAGAAGGGCCAGGCTGGCTTCATCTGCTACGAATACGGACCAAAAAAGAATAAGGACCGAGTCCGATCAAAGGCGATGACAATCTTTGAGTATGCACCCTGCCATCCAATGATATAGCTAAGAATCAGCAAAGTAAATAGGCAGTACTGGTCCCTGATGAACGACTACCAAGTTAGTGGGCACTGACATATCCTCACGGGGCTTTATCATGGGACGCCCAGGTGCCCATGCGCTTCTAGAGTCAAGCCAGACGAGGGAATTGGCATTTGGCATTGGGAAGGCTGCTATCTCATACCCAGACAGTTGGATCTTGATGCAGAGCGAACAAGCCAACAAGGTGCGCTGCAGTTAACAGTTGCTTTTTTTCTTTCTACGGAAACAACACAAGACAACAAGCTCTTTGCAAAGTGGAGCTCAAGACATTGGTCAAGGTGACCACTGAGAAAAAGACCTTGTAGATCCAATCCAATCCAGTTATCCGTACAGAATTATCGTTATGTATCCCCCTTCTCGTTCCTCTGGAGTTCTCAGCCGACCAACACAAGCGAATCGTCATGTTTCAAGCCCCAATTGCAACAAGAAGAGATTTCTCAGTGTGAGGCTTATCCTCCCGTGCGGTACGTACATTCTACATGACAACAGTAGGCGTTCTGATCTGTGATGTGATGCCTCTCTGTAAAAACTGGCCCTGTCCTCGTCCCGGCCTCCGCGGCCAAGCTTTCCCCAGGCTATTTTTGCCTAGCAATCCCAAAGAGGAAACCCAAGCAAGTAGAAACTCAACAAACCGCTACTGCCCTGGTCATCTTATTTTCCAGCTTGGCTGCCTTGTCTCCGTTGTATCCGTGAGGTGGAAGCAGTAAAACAATGACGACGATAAACGCAAGGAAACAGGATTGATTGAGCCTCTATCAAGAGAAAACTACCTGGTTTGTTGCCTCTATCGAATCTTATATCCATTATCAAAAAGGTTTCAGTTGCCCAAGACAATGGAAGAGACAAAACGTCGTTCCAAGCAATCACGTAACTGGTCCTTCTCATAGACACACTTTTATAACTCCAGATGTTGTAAAGCCAATGCTGCAAAGTCAAGCCACACATTGCGTGTTGGTCAAGGGAGATAAGGAAATAGACAGATGTTGGAGATAACCTCGATCCGGTTCTCTTTTGTCTTGGACTTGCATTTCTTCATATTCTAGATTTCTTAGACCGCCACGTTGATCCTGTTTCTCATCCCTTGCGTATAACCTCATTGGACTTGGCATCGACGCAACAGCTTTTATAGTCTCTGACAACAGTGCTCAGCAGAGACATGCATTGATGACCACTCAAAGCAGCAAGCTGATTATCTGTCTTCAATGTCTTATAAAGCGTACGAGAACCAATCCGACCTCGGCCGCATTTTAAAGTCTAGCCTTAGAGTCATCGCAACTTCAATCTCTATCCTGCCATCCCACAACGTGCGGGCGTTGGCTTGCCGCAGTGCGGCGCCCTCGCCTTGGCCTCGAGGCGTCTCAGTGCCATTGATGCGTATTCTGAGTCTCGATGGGCGCCTGAATCACAGGAGATGCCTTTGCATTGGACAAAAGGACAGCTGTTGTCCCGTGGCGTGTATAGGAGCCCATGCTTCGGTCCGGAAAACGACTCCGAAGTAAGACAGAAGCTGTTAGACCCTTTTGTTTCTTGTCAATATCGACGACTTGTCAAGACCTAAAACACGCGGTAGATGCCATACATAACAGGGGTCTTTGGAGTAGAGTAGACTATTTTTACACTACATACATGTAAACGTTGATAACCTCACTCTTGGACCTCAGATAACAACTCGCCAATCCGCATACCCTTGTTCAAGAACTCACTTTATTCCAAGCCATTCCAGAGAATAATACCCTTGGACTTGTTTCTGAGTAAGATAGCTTTGTTTGTTTTTCTTATTACTTCGTCACACAACCCGGTATGTTCCCGTACAGCAAAGTAACATTTTTGTTAGTTCATTAGTACCTAGTATTATGCAAGATTGCGGCTGCATCTCTACCAATTGGGACAACCTAGACACCACAGCCAACCTCCAAAGGCGAAAAATAGTGAGAGATAATGTGGTGCTGCCAACCAACCAACCACAGAAACTCCCTGCTGCGTTCTACAGCAACATTCGGTTACGAGAATGCGACATCGGCTCCTTTGTATCCGTATGTATGTAAGGATTGTGCTGATGCAGTATCTTTATTTGTCTTATGTGCTTTTGCAGCTCCCAATCATGATCTAACTCACCAGCAAGAGACTCGGGATACTATATTAAACATTGATACGATAAAGCAGATTCCCAGATCTCTGCTACGGTCCACCCAAGGCGAAACCTTGGCTAGGAAAAACACCGCAAGTATTTGATTATGTTGCAACGAGGCATTTCTCAAAATCACTCTGACATCACCAAACCCAAGTTGCCATTTACTTTTCCAATCACCTTACAGCTGTTGCTGTTGCTGTAACTGCCTCACTTTACACTTTACTGCCTTGGGCCATTAATTTACTTGATAAATGTCTCTTAGGCTTTTGTACCAAGTTGATCCCTAAAACTGGATCATTGCCTATCTCAACGGCCCGATCTAAGTTGAGTACTCGGGCCGCTTCTAGTCGGATCTAGCTAGCACTACGAATAAGGAAACATGCGTGTTTGATCACAGCCTATTCAATTGCATCCAATAGGTCGTTTCTTTCTCTTATATCGTAACAAGAACTCAATTGGGGAAAATAAAATATCTCATTGTCATTCCGACTACTCTCTTCCGGAAATCGCAACACCAACACCACACAACCAACCATCACCACAGCCATAGTACAGAGTTTAATTCTATCCCCCTTCCATGTAGCCTGCAGAGCTACGCTTTTCCCCGAGCCCTAGATACCTGCAAACCCAAGCCACCTGGTAAGATTCCTTTCACATCCCATGCCCATGCACCATTAGCATCTTGGAACGGAGTAATGGATGGCAGCCACACTCCTCCACCAGGGGATAACATACCGTATTTCTCATTCCAGCATCCCGATTCTATACTTCATGCAGTAAAGTCAAAGCTAAGGGTTTGTATACGTCCCCCCTCAACGGTTTCTCCGCCAAGCTTGAACCTTGAACCACCAAGCGCCCGTTGTCAACCTCCATCAGAGTCAAAGGACCCCTAGTCCCCCACGTCGGGGCGTAATCTGGGATCTACAGTACAGTGCCTTGACCAGCTCATGTACATCCGGTAGTAGCATGTTTCGCCTTCTCGCCGATCATGGGCCGCTCGCTAGCCCGGCTACTCTTCCCGATGGAATAAGAAGTCAGAGCTAAACATGGACAGGACAGACTCACTCATATTGTGCAGATGCAAACGTCCCCGAGTCCTTGTAGCATGCTTTCCAAAGTGATAGGTCATGAAAGCCATTACGCAAGGGCACCCTTTCTGGCTGCAGTAGATGTGCATATCAACTTGCATCAACAAATCTCGTCTTGCAAGCAATGCCTTGGAAGTGTGTTCTTATCAGTGACTTTGATAGCCAAGAATCACGCCACCATAGTTCCATGACCAGAAGGGCTCCTTTTGTTTGCACGCAACCTGATACTACAATGGCACACCAGATAACCTACCTTGGTAGTTAATCGAACAGACAAGACACTATTATGCCAGAGGGGACCTAAATCTCCGGATAACCTCAGCTAGTTGAATCATTGTTCCCTTTTTATATCCTTAAATTTATAAGTCTCGAATGTAGTAAATACATAGTATTACAAAACGTATTGAGGAAAACTTTACAAGCTGAAAATTCCTCGCGTTATCCCAAGCCCCTCCAGAAAGAGTTCATCTGTTCGGTTCAAGAATACAGCTTAAGCGACTTCCGGCATTCGGGATCCTATGTTGGCCAGGCGATCAGCTTCGTGGTTGCCCGGATCTGATGCATGCCCTTTAACCCATTGGAACTTTGTGACTGCCCCGGCAGCTTGTCTCTCTCTCATCTTGGCTCGTATGTCGCGTACGATGTCCTTGTTCGCGACAGGCTTCTTTTGAGAGGTCATCCAATTATTCCTCTCCCAATTGACAGACCATACCTGTACACAATTGATAGAGTACTGACTATCAGTCCAGATTTCTATTCCCTGCGTCAGAGGTGCAATCTCCATTGCTCTAAGAATAGCCAGTAGTTCAGCTCGCTGGTTCGTCTGAGGCAGACCAGGGAGTCTCTCGGCGTGGTTACGCTCATCGTCGTGGCCAAAGAAGACACCAAGGCCAGCACGGCTGCCAGCCTGTCCATTTCCAAGACTGCTGCCATCGGTATAGATCCTGATCGTATCCTGCTCTGCCTGTCGTTCTTTCTTTAATTTCTGTTCATGCTGTGCTTTCCGCGCGTCACGTTCTGCTTCGACTTGCTCTGCTGCGCTTGCATATTGTGTTTGTTGAAATTGGCGTGCTGCTGGCCTTGCTTCTGCTGCGCTTTGGTATTGTTTTTGCTGTGGTTCATATGCTGTTGATCTTGGTTCCCAAGTTTGTTCTGCCGGGGTTTGCCTTGGTTCTTGCTGTGACTGCCGTGCTTGTTGTCCTGGGCCGGGTGCTATTCCAAGACTCTGGCATGTCTCTGGTGCTCCAAATTGTCTGATGTAGTCCTCCGCCTCTCCTAGCGTATCAAACATCTTATGTTTTGCTCCACTTACGCCTTGAATGCGTCGACTGGTCTCTCCCCATGTATTATAGATACCCGGCTGGCTGCCAACTGCGACAGCATAATATTTCATAGAGCCGCTGGCGTTAGTGACGCTGGCTGAAGGGGTCCTGGCAGTAGGGACGCTGGCCGATGGAGCCCCTGAGCCACCCATATATTCTCGAGCTTCTTCTGCCGTTACGAATCCTTGAACTGGAAGGGCATAGTTAGCACTCCTCGAGTCGCGTACGTTTTTGCTCCTGTTTCTACTCACAAACTGCGCCTGGGAATCTGTTTACCTGTTCGCTACATTCGTCCCAGGTATGGTAGATACCGGGCGTTCTCCCAACTTTGACCGCATAGAAATTCTTCTTGCCCTTCTTCCTTGCCGAACCTCCCCCAAACCCGCCGCTGGGTGCCTTTCGCTTCATGTCGACGACTTGGTGATTGTCCGGATCCGTTATCTGTATTCTCCTCCAAGTGACAAAATCGAAAAGTGAAAAGTCGGCAGGCCCTTCTGCCTCGGCACGCGGTAGCGAAGCGTTGATAGATCGATCGCGACAGCCCAGTGACCCTTCGATGGAGCTTGCGAAGCTACGTGCGGTAATGAAAGCTGAACAACGGCGGTAAGTGACAACACGGGGGTGAAACCGATGGCCAAATAGTCAGCCGGTGCGCATAGTGGTGGAGAAATAAGAACGACAAGAAGCAGAACCCATTCAATAACGAAACTGGTACTTGCTCGTCGGATATAGTGGAATGCAAGGAGAGCCTTCAATTAAAGGTTGAGGGTTCATATGCATCATACAGCGGGGCTCGAGGCTGGGGCCAGGGTCCTCCACTCAAACGCACTGAACAAGTCCATAGCAACAATCAGTGTCAACAAACAAAAAGTCAATTGATACAGTGTCATATTGCGATAGTGCAGATAGAATACAATGGTTACCGCCTCCAATTCCTTCCAATGTTATCTCGTCCATTCCCAAGCTATTCTTACAAGTCCATGGCCAATGTCTGCAAATCGACTTCTCACCTGGGATATAAAGGACTATCTAAACCCTTTGTTTGTTTTCCAGCCAACGAACCAGCTGCAAGTAAGTCCATAAAACACACCTCAATAGGTATTTGTCGATGATCATGTTGCTAGCCTTGATTGATATCGGTCTTGGCCAGTGTCGTGTAGCAAATATTACTTCATCATTGCTCTCTAGGAGCTTCGTTGTCGCTGCAGTTTCGCGTGTATGGCAACGGAGCCGATGAGTCTCACATCGACCTCGGGGGTGGTAATCCTAAACATGAGTGATGGGATCAAGAGGAGGCAGGTCGGGCACGCCGTCGCGTTCCCATTCCCAAGCCATCAAGCTCCAGTTGAGCTCTCGTCTCCAGAAGAGTCCCAGTCCTCTTCCACCCCCATCCGGACGATCATCTGAGCTCAATCCTCCACTGCGGGGCATGTGCGTAGCAAAGACAGCTTTGCCCATTCGAGAATGGAGTATGCCCATAGAGCATGATATGCAGGGCTCATGAGTGACATAAAGCTCAAGACCGTGGCAAAGATAGCCATCCTTGTTCGGATGCTCCTGCACAAAGCACTTCTTCTCGATCTCAAGGAGTGGTCTGTCTTGGAATGCGTCGTAATCGAGATTAGGTGGGTTGAAAGGGAGGCCAGCAGCTCGTCGCTCATGTCGAACAAGCTTCTGGGCCACCATGCTAATAGCACGGACAACGCAGTGTGTCATAGGGTTGCTGGTACCCCCCAGCGGGCCGCACTCCTGGTGCCAGCGAGCGTCTCCTGCAACCCCGACAAGTTCGACTTTTCCGCCATCTCTCTGGACGATCACCGCTCCGATAGCTTCACCGATCCCGGTTTCTTTAGCTTGTAAAGCAACACGATGGGCTAGTGCCATCCAAACAGAGCTGTCGTCCTTGATATCTTCAGTGCCCCGGGCTACTATACTAGGGTGTGGTCCCAAGGGGTTGTTCTTCCGATATACGGTGGGCCAAAACTGGGAAGACCACATGGCTGCTTGTACTTGTGATGTTGGCGCAAGCAGGGGAATGGGGATCTTTTCGATAAAGAGCTCGCCCTCGTCGCCCTCGATGATGGACAAAACTTCGGTGAGCTCCTCTCGTGTGAAGTCCTTGACTTCTCCGATGATGATGTAAATCCAAGTCGACTTCGCCGTGTGAATCTGACGGCCTACAGCATTATCGTTCATGAACTGAGTTTTGAGGTGGGCGGGCAAATCGCCAGGCTTAGAACATCGTCGCAGATGAGGTAGGGGGTTAGCGCTATTGTCATCTGGTCGCATGTTACGCAAGGCCCTAGAGAACTATCAGTAAACAGTGCTTTTCGATCAATTCAACAAATGCAGTTGTGGTCTGGGAGGAGCATACGTGATGACATCGTTGGCCTGCCTGGTAGGTGCTCGTGTGATGTATGCATGGGTGATGGTGTGGTCTTGCCGGACCTCCTGCGTTGTCTTGAGGGGTATCAGGACACCGCGCCGAATATATTTATCCTTGAAATCATCGATCAAAGGGTTTGGCACGATCTCAGATGGACCGCGATGCTCAGGCTTGGCTGGCTGAGTTGCCTCAGCCGGATCAAGGGTGAGGGAGACCTCAGGAGCCAGTTCGGTTGACATTCTGTCTGAAGTGCAAAATGAGTAGCCTTGGTCACGATCTGGAGATAACAGTCAGCTGGAGACGACAGTATCTTGAGATTGTGTAGGGCATACTAGATGCGACGATTGCGCCTCAAACTCTAGTAAGAAGTAGCGTGCCGACGTGGTGTGATGGGGTGACGCGGTAGAGAGATAGCCGAGTTTCCAAGATTAGTCGCCTTGTTGAGAAGAGAGAGTTGAGGATGATATATTTGGATGTGATGAAAACAAAGCGCCTGTTGCTATGGGGAGATGAGAGCCTGGAAGGTGCGGGCTTGGGATGAATTCAGGCAGGAGCGGATCACTCTCAGGGCCTGCTTTTCAGTCTCTCTTTCTGCTTTTGGTGCTTTTGGTGCTTTTGTTAACAGTCGTCTCTTAGATATTGATAGTGCTGGCTTTCGAGAAAGGCGCTTACTCTTTTCTTAAGTCTCTAAGGAGGGACTCTTTGATATAAGAATATCAAGAGCAATAAAGCATACTTAGCAATCGGCTGAGCAAGGTCCGAACAAATTCCCCTGCGGGGCTTTAGTGCTTTGAGGTGAACGAAGCTGCAGTCTACTCTGGCAGTGTCAACGACTGGCAAGAAGCTATCAGTGAAAACCTCTGCAATGACGCTAAACGGCTGGCAGTTGCTTCGATGTTCTTTCTTAATTCCTGTTATCAACCAGTGTACTTGTTCTGGGTGGATCCGCCTCTTTCGGTCTCCTGCTGTGAATGAATGACCTTTTTCGCTTCTGCTTTCCAGATTGTTCAACTCTTCACTGCGTTGGCAGGATCTTCAAAAGGCCTGCTACAAACAGAGCCTTTTTGCGATCGCGAGCAGTTTTGATTAAGCTTTCACAGCTGAGACCTCGTTGAAATTCAAAGATACATCAACATTGAAGTATATGCATCCAGATGAATCATCCACTTGGACTATGTCTTCTCGAAATCTTGTATTCCGTCCAACTGGTTAGCAATGAAGTTGACAATGAGTTCTGCCAACTTGGTGGATCAACTGTGGCGGGGACCTGCATATGTGGCTGTGCATTAACAAGCCTCTTCTATTGACGTACCCTACACATCTAGCTCGAGTTTCACCACTATTGTCCAGGACAGGACAAAGAGAATACAACAACACATATTGTGCATGGGCATTTCCACTTATGATTGACACCTTCAGGCTTAATTTCTAGAGTTGTGCTCTGGTTTGCAATACTAAGACAAGCACCTGCCTTGTCATCATGAGATTCACTCACCAATACATGTAAATGGTCTGGTAAAACAAAATCATGAAATAAAACATCTGACTTTCTTGGAAAGGTTGGTAGTCAGATACCATCAAATTGATTTAGGAACACTTTAAATTGCTTGATATAAGACAGAGGCGTCACTTTCGACTTTTGATCTCTCGACCAAACACCATGATAAGACCGGGTAGTTTACTTGGTTCCTGTCTTCACAACATCAGTCAAGTGCCAGCTGTCTTGGTCAAGGTGACATTCTCCCTGGGGAATATTGCCTTCGGGCGTATCTGGGCTTGTGAAAGGCTGTTGCACGCCAAGCTTCTCATGCCGATGCGCTGGCGCACCGGTTGAATCGTCATGACTGCATGGATAGGAGCATCTGGCATGTGGAAGACCTCTACACTGGACAGTAACAAGTGGGAGCTACCCAAAGGAACATGACAGACGGTTGCCTGCATAGTTAGTCTGAATAGAAGTGGTGTCTGGCATCCATTAATCAACGGAGATGGTATTGCTAGGATATCTCAGCTCAGTGTGCCATAAAGGGTAACATGCTGTGTAGCCCCAAGGCACTGGGTCTCTGCAAAACAATCGTTCCATTTGTTATTGACATAGGATCTATTCCCGACAAGGTGGATGATTTGGAGCTGACATCTTGGCACTCGAACGACATCACGTTGGAAAACGAATAGAGTCAATCCTTTTAAGCACCGCGCATTGACAACGTCAGGTAGTCCTCAACAAACAGAACAGAAACACAAGTTTATGGTGACCATACCATGGCCGCAGACCCAAGACATTGTTTCAGAAGCCGGAGAAAATGTCTTAGTTGGGGTCAAGCATAAAGAGCTTACATGTTTGGTATGGGACATCGTGCAACAGCGTCAAAATGTCCACGCATTGCTAACCATGGCTCACCGAGAACTGGGGTAAGGCGCTATGGCATAACTTATTATGGGTGATTAGACAACTCAACAGAAGAAACATTAATTAACAAATAGCCTATCGGGACCATCCCCGCCTGACCTGCGCTTTGTTGTAACTTGTCAGGCAACCGATAAAGTTAGGGACAAGGTCTTATTGCTTCAGCTGTCATGGCCAGGGCCATGGTATGGCGGAGATGAATCAATAGATACAACTAAGGAGAGGCAGCCAGCAGAGCCACGATCGCCGTATGATTGATAAGAGTGACATGTCGATTCGTGCCAAGCAGTAAGCGGACAAGGACATGGAATCGGTTGTATTATATGATCATTAAGGCTTTCTTGGACAATAATTCATGGCCAATACATACACTGGGACTCCATGGGCGAATACAGGACGCTCGAGCGCCCACGGGTAGGTATGATTCGTATTGGAGTAAAAAGGGATGCGAGATGACTGTGACCGGGCGATGAGCGAAAGGACACGAGTAAGGAGTAAAATCGCAAGTGTAAGGGTGAGTGTAGAAGCAAAAGCAAAAGCAAAGGCAAGGGTGACAGTAACCTTGATATGACGGCCCAGTTACGAATCTCACAAAGCGAAGCGCCTCCTTGTGCCTCTCTTCCACTGTAATTCTTACGCATATCATGAGGGTAATTTCTGGTCTCTGTATCAACCAGAGCCTGGGCAAAAGATAACGGTGGGGGTTTAGAGTTCCCCCTCATACACATGCAATGCAGCTGCAAGCGCATTCTGCTGTTGCTAATTGCTTGTTCCCCGCGGCGAGATCGGAGAAAGCTAAGCGATGACTCCTTTTTAGGGTCCACGGTGACCTAGAGGAGCAAGGATCTTTGGAGTCTTGTACCTTGTCTGAGAGCTTCCATAACTGGAGAAGAAGGTCTTGTTGCAGGAGCAAGACCTGTTAGCGCGGCGTTTCTTTGAGGAGAACTCGGTTCCATTTGGAGCTTGACTCGATATGGCGTTAAAGATAGCACAAACTAATTACCTAGCAAATGCCTACTAGTAATACCTTGACTAAGAACAAAACACCAACACAGAGACAGAAATTTAAGTTTGAAAATCACAATTTACTAGGCTTCTCAACAAAACGGGACACATCTTTTGTTATTATCACGTATCTCAACTTGAACAAAATCGTTAACAAGATAAAGCGCCTTGCAATGTTATGTGCTGTACGTATCCTTCGTCACTGATTCCTGTCCATGTGTTCCACCAATACTAAAGCTGGGCTGTCATCCAAGAAAGGTCGACTGACAGCCCCGTGTCATGTGTTGAAACTTTGAATGGCACAGGCACTGCAATGCAAAGAACGGCAATGAAGATCAATTCCCTGGTTCTCATCCCTTTCGTTTCTCAACAGCTTCAAGCGAGACTAGCGAGTTGGAGAAAGAGGACTTGCACGCCACCGTTCCATTCAAAGTTACAGCAAGCACAAAGGCTCTATGCAAATCCAAAATGATAACAAAAATGCATATCGGATGTGCCACGGGAATCTTATCCAGAGTCTGTGACGGCATCCAAAAATGGCCACGGAGTCACGAATCCGAACACCTTGAAACTCGGCTTCTAGAGTTTCCCCAAAAGGGCGAAATCCGATGGGTGCGCCGCAAAGAGGATCTAACCATGATGCAGCATCTCTCGGACGTGATATACCGCGATTTGTCGTAGATTGATTGAGTAACCTGGGCGCGCAAGGCTATGACCTACCGCCCTATGTTTCTTTATTACAGTCTCCAACGTACGTCTTAATAGGAGACCCCAGCTGGACGGTACAGATGATCATGGATCCCGGGACCCGGGGATATTACATGTGGCCTGAACCAGCCCATCTTGTTGAGAATGATACTATTACCACGGAACGTGCATTCGTTCGTATGCCATCCATGCCACCTAATGGAAAGGGGCATGATAATGACTTGAGCAAGACAAAGCAAAGGATTGTTAGGGTGTGCTGGATGCAGTGCAGTGCAGTACCTGACCGAAGCCTCCTAAGGTAGGTCGGTACAGACCAGGCAGCTGAGTTCGTACTGTACAATGATGTAAGTCGGTGCAAACCAGGCCGAGGGGTCGATTCAATGCATGGACACTCGCACACGCACACAGGCGCAGCGCCACCTGAAGGGCGACGAGTCTCACGAGCCATTAATCTGGGGGCCAGCAGACACACCTTGGCTGGGTACTTTAGCTTTTCTTATCTCACCTTGGAGTTTTCACCTTGCCGACAGCATACACAGTAGTAAAGTCGATACGTGTACTAGCATTAAAAATTAGCCGCAATGCATTTCTGTGGACAGCCTTCAAGGTTTTTGCGGCGGCCAGTTACTCGGGGTTCCTTTGGCTGTTAATAAACCGCCCCGGACCCAGCGAACTGGGTTCGCATCACCTCACATCGTCCTGTCGCTCTCCTGATATCCCCCCTTAGTGGAAGGAGGAGCAATACTCAAGCAACGATATCTCGCGGCTGGCCAACGAGCCAAGTATAATTATCGCAACCTGCTGCGCTCTCTCTTTCTCTTGATCTGCAAGACCCTCTGATGAGCATAGCCTAATTCAGAGTGACGTATCGCAAAACAGGAAAAAAACCAGCAAAGAGACAAGAAAAACAGGACAAAGCCAAGAGTTTACAAAGTAACAAGCCTCAGCTTAGATCACGAGGTAACAAACGAGGCAGACAACGCAGAACAGCACAGCAAAGCACAACCCAACGCAACCCAACGCAACAAAACACAAGTGAAGAGGAAGTGGGATCGACTCATTCGAAAACGAGTACGTACAGTACAGACTTTGGATGGTAGGGCAAGGGCTTTGACGAGTCTTTACCTCACCTTGCCTCACCTCAACAGAACCCCCAAAGAGGAAAGATCTTTATCAAGCCAGACCTCAACTTCATTTCAACTTTTGCCAGGGCCTGGCCCAGGCTCTTCTAATCCTTTTCACTTACAAAAATATCCATCATTTCCCGCGGGAAGCTAAAAAAGACTTTGTGCTGTGCATACTGCAAACGCAAACAACCTACCTACGCCACTACCGCAGGTTTTTAGGGTCCTGCATTCTTCTCCACTCAGGCCTACCTACTGCAGCGCAAGTGCAGTGCTCCAAAAGCTACCAGGGGCCAGGACAGACCAGTGCTAGACGCGGCACGGCACCACCGAAAAGTCAAGAGTCAGCCTCCAACTGCACTGGGATTGGTCTCTTCACTCTCACCTACACCTACGGTCAACCTACCGACGCACCCTGACAGAATAACGCCACCCAGCTCAACCCATCCTTACCTTACTGAAAGGGACCGCCCACTGAGGACCCCCTGTGGACCATTGTGCTGGGCCTTGTCAGGACGACTTTCAATTTTGATTGGCTGCTATTACCTCCAAGACCAAGAAAGTCCGATTTGAAGGAGCCTAGTCTCCCTCTTTACTCGATGCCTTCAGCGATTGCGGCGACCCCTGCTGGTACGTATCGCGATTCCTTGTTCTTGTTTTACAGCTCACTGTTCATACTACGTATTTGCCCTACCTTCCTTCCATTTGCTCCGTTGGGGGTATTTTGCTTTATTAGCCATTCAACTGCTGCTACCTTGACTCGTCCTTTCTTATTGCTACTTTTTCTTCTCCTCATACAAATTCCAAATCTCCAAAAGATCTTCGATATCCATTGCTACGTTGCAGCAAACGGCTTGATCAATCAGGGTCAAACTTTGCTTCACGTCCGTTCGTCCCTACTTGATATCGTTGCACTACCTTGCGCTATCGCTTATACAACCACAATACACAACTCATACTCATACATACCTAGACGCAGGTCGCCGACAATCAAAATCCACAGGACTTCTTAAATCTGTGATGCATAATCTTCTCGGAGCCTCACCACCTTCTCCAGCGCTGCCAGCGCAAAACTCATCTTCAGCACCAACATACTCAGAATCCCTACCACCTACATCGAATCCAACCTCAAACCCAACTTCAGACCCTTCTTCGCATCCGAACAATCCGAACAACTACGCAGTCCTTCCTCCTCCCCCAGACGGTGACCATAGCCATCTTCCTCCACCAGCAAATGCACCTTCGTCTTTGGCTGTGGCTCTCCGATCGCTAAACGATTTGACCGAAACCCCCACCTATGCGCGAAGTGTCACTTCGACAGCGCCGAGCTCGCCACGCATGTAAGTGCCGTCATTTTTTTTCACTGCTCCTCCACAGTTGGGGTCGCCAACCACAAATCCACCAACTTCGGTCCTTTTAGCACTGGCGATCCCGCTTTTGGGAATCCTCAATTGACGTATGGAAATAGTCCTCCATTGCGACAAAATTCGGGTGGTCACACACCACGAGTGCGACCTCATGCTACGACGCTCAACATTCCGGGCATGACCCGGTCTAGAGTCTCGCCCGACGGAAAGATTTCTTCTCGCGATGTCGCTGCCAAGCTCGTTATCGTCATGGTTGGTCTGCCAGCACGAGGAAAGTCGTACATCACCAAGAAGCTCCAAAGATATCTTTCTTGGCAACAGCATGATTCTCGCATTTTTAACGTTGGAAACCGAAGACGTGTGGCTGCTGGGCGCAGGGTTTCTGTGCACCCCAAGCTGCAGCCAGAGGGAGAGCACCTGGACCCTCCTGTGCACGCCGCCTCCATTTTGCTAAACGGCAATCCCACGCCATTTGGCCCTGATCAATCAGAGCCGGAGAAGCTTGATCTTAACGATGCTGCTCAGTCAGAGGTGGATCAGTCTGCCACATTCTTCGACCCCAAGAACCAAACAGCTGCCGCCATGCGCGAGCAATGTGCAATGGATACTTTGGACGAGCTGTTGGATTATCTGTTGGACCAGGGAGGCGCTGTCGGCATCCTCGATGCCACAAATAGTACCATTGAGCGAAGAATGAACATTGCTAAGCGTGTCAAGCAGCGGGAGCCCAAGCTGGGTATTCTCTTCATTGAGAGTATCTGCCAGGACCCCAACCTTCTCGAGGCAAACATGCGGTTGAAGCTATCAGGCCCCGATTATCGCGACAAGGATCCCCAGAAATCATTGGCAGATTTCAAGAAGCGAGTCGCCGCCTATGAGAGCGCATATGTTCCCCTAGGCGAGTACGAAGAGAAGAACGACTTGCAATACATCCAGGTTTGTGAATTCCCAACCATCGATGGAGCACGTACTGACTATCCTGTAGATGGTTGACGTTGGACGAAAGCTCATTCAGCATCGATTGAAGGGTTTCCTCAGCAGTGGAATCAGTACTTATCTTGCCAGCTTTAACCTTGCTCCTCGGCAGATTTGGATTACCCGACATGGCCAGAGTGTCGACAACGAGATCGGAAGATTGGGTGGAAACTCCGCCCTGACTGAGCGCGGACATTGTTACGGCCAGGCTCTTCACAACTTTATCACTTATCAGCGCAAGCAATGGTGTACGGAGCAGAAGAGCAAGAAGGCTCAAGCTTCCTTCCCTCCTATTCCAGGCGACAACACACCTCCTTATCCTGAACTGAACCGAGAAATTGAAGACAAGAATTTCTGCGTTTGGACCTCGATGCTTGACCGCAGTGTGGAAACAGCCGAGTATTTTGAAGCCGATGACGACTACGATGTCAAGAATTGGGAGATGCTCAATGAAATGAACTCGGGTCAGTTCGAGGGTTGGACATACGCCGAGATCGCGAAGAAGGAGCCCGAGGAGTTTGCAAAGCGAGCGCACGATAAGCTTAACTACATCTATCCTGGAGTTGGTGGCGAAGGCTACCTGCAGGTTGTTAGCCGCCTGCGCGATATGGTTCGAGAAGTTGAACGTATCGAGGATCATCTTCTCATCATTGGACATCGCTCTGTTTGCCGAGTCTTGATGGCTTATTTCATGGATTTGTCCCTGGCAGACATCACAGATATGGACATTCCTCTGGGCATGCTCTACTCTATTGAGCCCAAGCCTTATGGTCTCGATTTCCATGCCTACCGATATAACGAAGACCAGGGCTGGTTTGAGGAGCTGCCCAACTACAAGCCTCAAAAGACTGCTCGCAACAGTATCATCAAGCCACAGCATTAACAATTTCTGACACTTACGGCATCAACCAATATGTATAACAGTTTTATTCGGAGTTCAATGAGTCGGTATTTCTTAACGACTTTATTTTATACGGTGTTTAGCGGGGTACGATTTTTGACGATTGACGCGCATAGAGGAGTCATCCGCACTATCAATGGAACAGAAGGGCATACATAAAGACGAAGGAAAGGGCGGCGTTCTCTGTTCGATTGATAAGTCGATATGCCTTCGATGGCGCGACGCAATTCCTTGCATCGGTAATGATTTAGGCGTTTCTCGGGGCTCTCCTCATTTTTACGGTTGAGACTATGGATTCGGGTGGTTATGGTATCAGAGTAGTGCACAAGCCCATGTTGTGTGTTGTGTTTTATCCTTGTTGTCTCCTAGGCGCAGGCGATGAAGGAATTACCAGAAGTTAGATGGGATAGGTGTGTGATGGATAGATACACAGCATGACGCTCACGTCAACTGATAAAAAGTTTGAGTGCCAGTTCGATAAAAAATCTTAGCTGTCTAGATTCATAGTTACGAAATTCACATTTCTATGCAATATTACCTTCAAAAAACGATGCCTCAAGGCAATCCATGTCTAAATTGACATTGATAACAGACGTGAGGATGAAGAACTAAGGTCAAGCAAGCATGGGACGTTCCAAACCTATCCATTCACTCACTTGCTCCTTGTTATCTGCGGCGTTCTCGTCAGTAGGCATTTACTCAACTCGTCCTCTTCCATAGTACCTACTCACAAACTGTGCGAAACAGCAAGATTTTAAACTAACAAATTGTGAATGGTATATTCTCAAGGTAGGTATTTAGTTATCTAAATTACCCATTAATCGACGACCTGAACGCCATGCAATGCCCTTCCATGCCTTTTGTAACCCCATTGAAGTTTTCTCCAACATCTTGCCACGTACTTTTATTTCTCTGTTGCCAAAATCATCTTCTCTCTCTCTCCTCGGCGCCTCTCGAATTGCTTCTTGGAATGACGACGCTCGTTCTCTTCACGGCGCTTGATGCTCTTGAGCTCCTCGGCCTTAATCTCACTAGCCTTCTTGAGCACCTTGGGTACGTGACGGTGACGGTGAATACGACGGACTTCGGGCATGTGCTGGTATCGCTCGATAAGAGCATCGTTGTACTCCAGAGCCTGGCGCTGACGGGCGGACTTGACACCCTCGCGGCGTGAGGCGTTGGCACGCCAAAGTCGCACGTTGCCGTCGTCGGAGCCAGAGAGAACGTATCGGGCATCAGGGGTCCAGCAAGCCGCCGTCACACGCTGCATGCGCTTGGTGTGGTAGATATCTCGAGAATGACCGCGGTCACGGTTCCAGAGACGTACGGTTCGGTCCCAGGAAGCAGACACAAGCTCTTCACCTGTTGGGGACCACTCTAGATCCATCACTGCTGCCACATGATCCTTGAGAACGTTGAGAGCGCGATCGAAGCGACGCATGTCGAAGAGATATATATTGTGATCTTCTGATGCAACAGCCAGGTTGAAGGCCTCCATCGGCGACCAGGAAAGGCGGTTGTTGGAAAATTTCATAACGGTCTTTGTGACAGGGGTAGACGTGCGGAGGTCGTAAATCACAACTGAGCGGTCGTTGGAGCAAGATCCCAAGACTGATGTCTCGACTTGATTGAAGGCAACGTCGGTGATGGTGTCGACGGACGTGGGCCACTTGAGCACTTCGGGCGCGGCAGTATGCCGTTCAAGATCATAGATGCTGATGACACTCGAAGAAGCAGCAAATGAGTTCTGGGAACGGTGGTGCGACAGACTGGTGAAAGCACCGGATCCAAGCCAGGAAGATATAGGTGCCGCATTGTTGGGTGTGTTGTAAGGATCAAAAAGTTTGACCGTTCTATCGGCGGCACAAGTCAAAAGCTTCTGGTCGCGTGTCCATGCCATTCCCTTGACGATATTCTCATGCGCTGAGGCGTGCCAGATCTCATCTCGATCGGCCAGATTCCACACCTTGACAATGCCATCACCAGCGCCGGAGGCGACATGTTCCAACGAGTTGGGATCCTTTGCCATAGAGTAAACACCATCGACGTGGCCGTTTCCTAGCTGACCAACGAAAGGCTGTGCATGCATTCGCTCAAGTTTGACGGCATTGAGGGCTCTCTGGTATTCTCGTGCGCGTTCGAAAGGGTGCAGAGCGGAATCGAGGTTGCGTGGTTGTTTGGTTACATCTGAGCCGGCGACCTGTTGGGTCGAGGCGGAGCGAGTGAGGGCCTTGATTTTCATGTTGGATGGCCCCGCAAAGTTCTGGATTTCCTACTTTTGAGGCTGAGACTTTTGGCGGGGAGGAATACCTATCGATCTTTGTAAAAGAAAAAGAACAGTGATCAGTAGTATTACCCCAGCAGAAGTGAAGCTATCGATATTTTTTCTGTTATCGCTGCAGTATCCTTGTCTATGCAGGCCGATAAGAGCGGGATTACTAATGTTCCGCCACCGAGCCAGGTACAACAGTTCAGTAGATCGCATATGCAACTCTAAGGTCAGGGCTTCAGTTCGCATTGTTGCGAAAACCTACTCTCTTTGTTTACCTCCGCCCATTTTCTCGCCCTGCAGAATTAAGCTCTGAAGCACCCAGCCCACGTCTGTTCCTAATTTCAGTTCCTACACCACGCGACTTTTTAACGATTTTCACTTGTCGTAAATACTTTTTGGCGCGCAGTCGCACAGTAATATGGACGGGATGGATTACGATCCTATGGTGATGGACGGGGAGCCCGAACAGCCCCAAGTGAAGATCTCTGCGGTAAGAGAAGACTCGCAAGTCCTTTTTCTTTCGTGGGACACATAACTGATCTAACTTGATGCGACTCAGGCCGACCACATACATGTCGATTTCGAGCTTTCTAAGACGAACCTCTCTTTCGCCAACTCTGTGCGACGAATCATCCAGGCAGAGGTGCCTACAATCGCCATCGACCTGGTCGAGATTGAGACCAACAGCTCCGTGCTAGCTGACGAGTTCATCGCCCACCGTCTGGGTCTTATCCCCCTCGATTCAAAAGGAGTTGCCGAGCTCAACTACTCACGAGACTGCGAATGCGAGCAATACTGCGAACAATGTAGCGTCACTCTTACACTACACGCCAAGTGCACGTCCGACGAGATTATGAAGGTTTATGCGCGCGATCTAGTAGTCGATGGACGACATGGAAACTCGGTGGGAAGCCCTGTGATTATGGACCCCGAGGGGTATGGCTGCCTGATTGCGAAGCTTCGTAAGGACCAGGAGCTGAAGATCAGCTGCATTGCGAAGAAGGGAATTGCAAAGGAGCACGCCAAGTGGATGCCCACATCTGCTGTCGGCTTTGAGTATGATCCTCACAACAAGCTGAACCACATTGATTGGTGGTTCGAGAACGACACAGATCCAGCTGTTGAATGGTAAGCATACCGGTCAGTCTTCATATGATACAAGACTAACATAACAATCTTAGGCCCAAGAGCAAATACGCTCAGTGGGAGGATGCTCCCCAGGAGGGCGAGCCTTTCGATTATGATGCTGTCCCCAACCGGTTCTACTTCGAGGTCGAGTCATCAGGGAGCATGGGGCCTGATCAGATTGTGCGGGAGGGTATTAGAGTTCTACAGCAAAAGATCGGCGGTCTGCTCAAGGGACTAGATCCCAGAAAGTACGGCGGCGACGAGGCCGACTTTGACGGACCCCGAAGTCCAGACATGAACATGGAAGGGGGAACCACACCCTGGCAGGATGGAGGCTACACTACACCATATGGCGGTGGTGGCCAGACGGCGTACGGAGGCGGCGGTATGACAGCTTACGGAACAACGCCATACGGAGGATCTTCGTGGCAGTAAGGGCGAGGGGCGTCAACGGGTGGAGCCATTCGTAATTGAAGACAATTTGGCGGTGTAAAGATCAATGGGGTTTGCAACAATATCAAAACGACTAAGCATAGCACAATCATAGAATGGATTAATTTCAAAAAGCAAGAATGTCGTAACGCACCCAGTTCTAGTATTGTGTGCATGCAGGAAATGCTAGCCTGCCGACCCTATCCCCTTCTATATGTTGAGTTGTGTGGTATACAAAAACATCTCTCTTGTAAGAGATGCTACCGGGAAGTCTCGAAATGCAAAGCAGAAATGACACAATCACCGCTCTTGAGTGACAAAATAACAAAAACACAACGCCGAAATATGTCCGTCTTCTCCGTGGTCTATAATGCCGTCTATAGGTTCGCGTCTAAGCCTTGCACCTTGCGGTATGCCTTGCGGTGCATTTCTAAGAAGACAAATGTACAGATGGTTTGGCTAGCAAGTGTTAGCTGGAAGAAAGTCTGAGTATGAGAGAAGTTTAGCTTACGGTCCAAGTCTGAGGAAACTGGGAACCCAGCCCTTGAACATCCACATCAGGCCGTCAGTTCGATGAATATCGCGAATCAAATGCAGAACTCCGTGATCATGCGCCGAAGACATGACACGAGTTTTAATGACATCAACAGGACTTGTGATGGTAGCAGCGACAAAACCGGCGATGAACGAAGCGGTGAAGTGAGTCTTGAGGTTATCCTGCATGGGCGTATACTTGATCAGCAGACTCTTTGAGATATCGTAGCTGGCGAGCTGACCGGCTGTCATGAACATGGCACGAGTACTGTTAGGTAGCCAGCCACGGAACAAGCTCTTGGGTCCTTCTTCACGCGCCATGCGAACCATCCCATCAAAAGCATGACGGTAGTTTCGACGCTCGGCCTGGGGAAGCGCAGCGTCGTGCTGCATGCGTACATTGAGTACATCGGCAAAGTTTCCAGCAATACCGCCTACAAAACCAGAACCAGCGGCGAGACCAACAAGAGTCGCAAACGATGGGTCGCGGCCTCCGTTACGGCGTGTAATGCGCGTCTTTATCTCTTCGTAGACGCCGAATCGGACGGTAGAATACGACATCTGACGCAGTAGCGAGGCTGATATACCACTATAGAGACCGAGGGGGCCGTCATTG